TTAACTAGATTAGACTAGTATACGAAGATTAACCTACGCGATACGTTTTACGCAATACGTATAGCAGCTAGATACGAATAGATAATAGCATTCCGAACAAGATATAGGCTTTACGAATTCTTGGTTATACCTATAGGACTTACAAATGCCCTAGCGTTATATTAAGACCTTATAAACGAAGTCCTCCGAGACCTTCTAGATATATACGTTATCGCATATATAGACGATATCTTAGTCTATACTAAGGGAGCTCTCGCGGACTATATACGAATAGTATAGGACGTCTTTAAACGATTTACTTAAGTAGGATTTAAGACTGCACCTAAGAAATACGAATTCTATAAGAAGGAAGTTAAGTTCCTAGGATTTATTATTAGTACTATAGGAATTAGGATCGATCTAGAAAAAACCAAGTTAATATAGGAATAGCTAACGCCTATATACGTTAAAGACGTACAATTATTCCTAGGATTAGCTAACTGTAATAGAAAATTCATCGAGGGCTACTCTAAGATAGCGGTACCCCTTACGGAGCTTATAAAGAAAGATAAGAAATAGAACTAGAGTACGAAGGAAGACGAAGCGTTTAGGCAGCTAAAGAAGCAATGCGTTTCTACGCTAACGCTACGATTATTCGATAGAAATAAGGCGGTCTAGATAGAAATAGACGCGTCGGATAGGGCTATAGGAGTATGCCTTATATAGGAGCATAACGGGAAACGACACCCGGTAGCCTATTACTCGAGAAAGATATTACCCGCGGAATAGAACTACGATATCTATAATAAGGAGCTACTTACAATAGTTGCATTACTATAACACTAGCGAGTATACGCGGAAGGAGTACTAAGTCTTACGATTCTTTCTAATTATAAGAATCTAACTTACTTTACTACGACTAAAGTACTAACCCGAAGATAGGCCCGCTAGTCGGAGCTGCTAGGACAGTATAAGTTCGAAATCCGCTATACCCTAGGACGCGAGAACGGACGAGCCGACGTACTAGGCCGCTATAGCGACTATGTAGAGGGTTACGAACTAGTATAGTAGCAGATATTAAAAGCAAACTAAGACGGGAGCCTTAGTGCTAGTACAAAAGAATTTAACTATATTATACGAGTTCTTTAGGATATAGAAGAACAGTTCCTAATCGAATATAGGAAATACTAGGTACCTAAGGAACGAGTTATAGAGTATATACGACAATACTACGACGGACTAGAAATTAGACACCCTAGAGTTTTAAAAACAATAGAACTAGTTAAGCGAAGCTTCGGATTCCTATATATGCGATAACGAGTTCTAGAATATATTGAGAAATGTCTATAATGTTAGCGTAATAAGGCTAATAGATACGCTAGATATAGATATATCTAATTTAGGACGCTACTAGATAAACTATAGGACGAAGTTACAATAGACTTTATTACGAAACTACCGAAGTCTAAGGATCCGGTTATAGGATATAGCTACGATATAATACTTATTATAGTCGATAGGCTTACGAAATATATACACTTTATTCCTACTAACGAAGCAAGTACGGTAGAGTAACTCGGATACCTCGTACTAGATAGACTTATACGATACTACGGATTTCTAAAGACCTATATTACGGATAGAGACAAGCTCTTTACGTTAAACTACTAGAAGACGCTTATAGCGACACTTGGAATTAAGTACAAGCTATTAACGGCATACTATCTATAGATAGACGGCTAAACGGAAGTCAAGAATTAGGCCTTAGAGGTATACTTACAGCACTACGTTAATTACGCACAAAACAATTAGGCATCGCTATTGCCTATAGCATAACTTGCACTAAACAACCAACAATCTAAGACTACGAAAGAGACACTATTCTTCGCTAATTTTAGGAAACATCCGTAGCTGTTCGGGGAATAGTATTTATAGTATCTATACGCGGATAAAGCGATAGTCGCTTTAGAAGACTTAAAGCAGGTATATAAAGAATTGCAAAGGGCAATTGCCGAGTCTTAAGAAAAGATTACGGGACTATATAATGCTAAACGAAAAATAGCACCTTAGCTAAAAAAGGGGGATAAGGTCTACCTCCTAATAAAGAATCTAAAAACCCGGAGATCGACTAAGAAACTAGACTACGTTAAAGTCGGGCCATTTTTAACTAATAAGCCTAAAGGACCAGTTAATTACCGACTTAAACTACCGGACGACGCGAAAATCTACCTAGTATTCTATATCTCTATACTAGAACCTATAGACGCCGAAACACCGTATTAAGAAACATTTTACTTCTAACCTAAGGAAGAAAATAAGTTTAAAGTCGAGGAAATCCTAGATTAGCAAGGTTAGAAATACGTTATTAAATAGAAAGGATACCTATATTTAGAAAACACTTAGGAACTAAAAGAAAACCTATAGAACTGTTAGCAGATAATCAAAAAATATCAAAACCGGACAAAAAAGAAATAACTAGTATAGGAATTGAACCTACGACCTCTTAGACCCTATCGATTATAGCGCCTTAGAGTTCTTAACGACCTAGGGTAGTATAGCTCGAGGAGCGGGGACTCTAATAGCGTACCTAGCAACTATGTCTTTTATAGCTAAGAATTATACTACTAGACTAACTAGCTAGAAGATAAAATAGATAGGAAACATTAAAAATATATACCTTTAGGACACTAGACTCTCGGTACTCCTACTAGGGATTTTAGAGATAGGCTAGGATGTCCTATCTAGACGACTCTAGTTATAAGGCGATATCTATAATCGGCTATCTAGGGGAAACGGCTCGTTAGTAGGCAACGAGAATATTATCGGCTCTATAGGCAAAGAGCCTAGCTCTCTTTCGAGCTCCTCCGCCTATTAAATAGAGGCTTCCTCTACCTTAAGAGCTTGTATCTCTCGATCCTCCTTTATACGTAGTAACTTACGTAAGCGACGGACCTTTACGCGATACTCGAAAAGCTTCCGCGTAAGGAGGTCCTCCTCCTCTTCGGCCGCTTCGAGATCTTTAGCTATCTTTAGGCGCGCCTTCCGGATTTTTTTATACTCTATACGAGTAACTTATATATTATAGGACTAGCCGTATAGGGCGCACTTAGAGCAGCGACCGGAACGAAGATTAACTTTATAGGGTTTACCGGCCTATTCGTAATAAAAGTAGCGGATCGGTATTCGAAGCAGTCGGCGAGGATATTATTTGCGATATTTTCGTTACGCTAGCGAGAAGACAAATCGGTAGATAACTTTAGTATAACAAAGAAGTTAGAATTAGAAAGTCCCGGAATAAGGGACTATTCCGCTTAAGGAGAGGGATAGTATTACGGATCTAATTAGTTAGAGTCCTTATATAATCTTAGAGCGACGCTAAGACTAGTAGGCTAAGCTATCGCTCTATCTTACTAGGAGCGATAGGAGCGGTCGAGAGCGATAGCGTCGCTTACGTCGCTTACGACTATAGATAAGATATCTCCTTTGTATTTAGGAACGCCGGAATGCCCTTATAGCTCGAGGCGTTTAACTTATATTACCTACTTACTAATTAGAATTACCTTTATACTAATTATTCTGTCTCTGCCTCCCGCTTATATTAGCCTCTCTAAAGAAGCCTCGGCTTGTATATAATAAGAAGTTACTTAACGATCTGTCGCGAGTAACCGTAATATAACGATATACTCGTTACTACTAATTCTAATCCGGAAGCTAGTTTTATCGAAATTCTATACATTCCGCGGCTTTATATCTAGTCGCTTTATTATCGCCTTAAACCGGTTAAACTAGCTCCTTATCGTAGAAGGGTCGTAAGCTTCCTTCCGCTATATCTTAATCGATTTAGACTTAATCTTACTAAGTCTATAGCGCTTTAGAAAGCGGTCCGCCTAATCTATACTAAATAGCGGTATTATATCCTTCGATATACCTTCTAGTAGTAGGCTTACTAGTATATCTATCGCTATAACGGTAATTAGCGGCACTAGTAAGAATATGCCTATTTCGTCCCTCTTTTAATAATAATCCGCTAGCGCTATCTCTTAAAACTCGTCTAATTTAGTATTAGTTAATAGACGACTAAATAGCGACCTACGGCCTCTTAACCGCTAGTAGATACGAGAATATAGGCGAGTTGCTTTCTTACTCTTATAGAGCGCTCGAATACTAACCTTCTTATTATCCGATTTAGCTACTAATTCGTAGTACCTCGAAATAACGCGTTCTACTATCCTCTCTGCCCTCTCCGCCTTAGTTAACCGCTTAGCTCGCGCCCTTTTTACCTTTTTGCCCTTATTACGCCCTATACCGAGTTTTATATACGATCCGTAGAGTAGAATATAAGAAATAGGAGGAGTACGAGGAATATACGCTTTAGAATAAGGTAGACGCGCCTACTAAGGATTATATAAGAAATAGCGATAGTAAGGTCCTATAGCTACTATATACTCGGATAAACTAGCTAATATAATATTTAGACTCGCGGTTTAATACTATATGTACCTAGATATCTATATAGGACTAGAACCTACTACTATATCGAATTTTACGTATAGCCTACTAGGAAAAGGCGATTTTATATATAGCTAGAAACCCCGCGAACAGCGGGGAGGAGTGTGTAACGGAACCCTAGATATCGATAGTAATTCAGGCACAGAACGCATGTACAGTGCTACGGCTAAAACACCTATACTCGGTATAGAAGGAACGGTCGGAATCGCTGCTTTAAATTGAGTAGGGTTTGGCCAGTAAGAAGAGCGCTGATTCACCCCTGTCCTCCAGAGAGGGGCTGCAGGGTTCAGCTCAGTCACGACAGCATGCGAGGTTATCAGGAGAGGTCCTTAACAACTGTTTCGCTATACTGAAAGGAGCTTCGAAAGTCCGAGATACATGGCCTTGACAGCATTACATGGTAAGGTAGCGCAGATGGCGCATAGATCATGCGACAACATATAATCTCGTCAGGCGGCCCATCCAAAGCTGTAATTTCTGTCTCCAAAACTGTTCCTAAGTCAGCGATGGCAACAAACGGTGCTTCCGCAGCAGACATGCTGCTGACGCAAATGGCAACGAACGCCAAGGATCGGCCGAGATACAGCAAACAGCAGCTAGAGCGCTACTTTGATCGAATAGAGCTCCCGCAGACGTACCGAGACTCACCAGTCATGTCTGATCCTACTCTGGCGCGGACGAAAGAACACGGTTTGCCTCTGATTCAAGCTATGACACGATACCACACTTCTCACATTCCATTCGAGAATTTGCAAATGCACTACTCGGGTACGAGAAAAATCTCGCTCAATATGGACGATCTGTACGACAGATTTGCAGATACCGTTGGGTGTGGTAGTGGTGGACGTTGCATGCAGAATAATGGTGATTCGCAAGTGCCCTCGCCTTAGCAAGAAATTCTGACTTATTCATCTTGCCAGGTTTCTTTGGCACTGTCATGCGATCTCTCGGCTACAACGTACGAAATGGTGGCAGTCGAGTTTCCCGGAGCATGTATCCGGACACCTTTACTCGCGAGCACCAGGCTGAGACCTATGACCCTTGGGATCATATGGTAAATTTCGTGAAATTCGACCAGGAATGGTGGCTAGTGGATGTAGGGATGGCAGCAATGGGGCCGTGAGCTAGACCTCATTTGGTCACACAAAAGAAGTTCAATGTTCATACTGATCTTTGCTTATTCAGAAACATGCCAATCCCGATCGAAGACAACTTCATAACGAATTCAATCGGTAGTCGAAAAATTCGTCTCCAGCTCCGCGTCATTCCAGAGCACGCCGCCGACGATCTCGAAGACGCTCCGAAGCTCTGGTGTTTCGATGTGTCCCATTCGCAGAATCCGGATGGCACAGACATTTGGCTTCCGACCTATTGCTTCACGATGGCGGAATTTCTCCCTCAGGACTACGAGTGTGCGAGCTGGTATACCACGACATATCCTCGCTCCTACTTCGCGCGATGGCTTCTCGTCACAAAAATGATTTTGAGCGAAGATGGCACAGAAGTCGTGGGTGATCTAAGCCTGGTCAACAATTTCGTGCAGAAGAGGATTTTGGGGAAGAAAGAATTCGGGCAAGAGCTCAAGACGGAGGCGGACAGGGTGACTGCGTTGAAAGAGCTTTTCGGAATTACGTTAAGTGAGGAGGATCAGCAGGCAATCTCGCCTCACATGAAGTTAGGGTAAACTGAGCGGGACAACTCCGGGTGAAGAGGTGAATAATAAACGTGCGTGCTTTCCCCCTCATTTACCACCTTCTCTCAACAATCTCGTTACCAAAATGCCATGACCCTAACCTCAATACTACACCTCGCCTCTTCAACCCCTTCCGTCCCGGGAATCATCGGACTGCCATGCGGCGCTCCTTCTGCCACGTTTGGATCCTTATCAGCAAGCGTGTCTCCCAGCTTCAAAATCAGAACATCTTCGGGTCCTTGATTGGGAAAATAATACCATTTTTGGGTCTCGGGACTCTCGCGATCCGGTAGAATGATTCGAATCGTATTCATGAATTCTCCTTGTTCATTATCCGCAGGGTTGCGATACAGGGTGTCGAAGAAACAGGATTTGGAAATCGTGCGGAAATCGCAGGCCGCCATGGGATCTCGTTTAACTGGGAATAGAGGTCGCCAGACGCTGCAGCATGCGTAGCGAGGGACATCTTGCGCGCCGGAATCTTCGGCATCGAGAGCTGCTTTCGCCGCGGCGCGAATGTCGGCTCGACAGTATCGTGCTGTGTCCCGAAGACCTTGATTATTCAAGTCGACGTGCACGTTTCGGACTGGTTCGAGGGAGCTGGCTACACTTTTTCCAGAGACTAAATTCGTCAATCAGCGTTCCACCTCCAAGAAGTAAAATGGACCTACTCGTAGGCACATCTCTCCTCAATGCATCAAAAATCCGATCCTGTTCCCCACCCTTCTTTTGCTGCACTGTCGGTTGCCCATCCTGACGAACCGGCAGTTTCCTTCTCGTCACCCCGTTCCAAACCACAGCCTTCTTACAGCCTGTCACGTTCTCGATCAATCTTTCCAATTCTGGTAGATACAAGTCCTCGATATTCGAGCCCTCGAAGAATTTCCCGTTGCAAGCATTTTCTGAGGTCGCAATTTGAGATTTGTGATGGATCCAGGTGAAACCTTGAACGTCGAGACCTTGCGCTCCTTTTACAATGTCCGAGTTGTTGAAATCGAGGAGCTCGGCCTCTTGTTTGACGAAGTCTTTGTTTTGGGGTGTGGCGAAGAAGGCGCGTTGTTCTGCTGTTACGGATTCGTCTGGGATGCTGAAGCGGAGGATACCTTTCGTCGTGGTGGTGGTCATGCTGTTGACTGTGTCCTCGAAATGATACGTTTCATCAGGCCGCTCCATAAATGTTATTACACAGCTTGGGTATCGATATACTACCCAGGCCGCTCTGTCGGAGCTTCCTTTCACGTGCAAGCACCGGCCATGCTGTGTACGGATCAGAAGCTGTATCCGACTTCAGCTGCTTCGGACTTTGGTCAAGCTCCGGGCTTCCTATTATGGAGCAGTAGTCACATGCGTTTGAAGGTTTGGCCGTGAGTTTGAAAGACCGTGTAAAGAGGTATGCAAGTGGATAATACACTTATGCTGACGAGAACACTCCCTTTCGAATGGTATGGGAGAGTCAAGATGTGGAAATGTTGGTCAAAGCCGAAAGCTTTATACATTCAACGATGTATGTACAATCAATGGTACCTCAATTTCAGTAATACAAACATTCTGATCACAGCCCGATCGTCTCCATAACTACATGTAGATCCACGCTACCAAAACTTTACGACATCACTCATTGCATCGTGTCCAGTAGCCAATCTATGCCGCAGCCGAAACCAGCGGCGCGAATGGTATACCAGAAGCGGCACCATTGATCTTGGGTGCAGCATTTGCCGTCTTCTTCGGTAAGATATCTTTCTGATCAGGCTCTATTTCGACATCCTCAGGCTTCTCCATGGTCTCGATCTTGGCGTTCCTATTCTCTTGTGAAATAGATCGGGTTATTCGGTGTTGGCGGAGTGCCCTATGGGTATCGATTCATATCATCGCCATATTCTGGGCCTCTAACAGGTTAGATGAGACGATTCGCTTGGAAGCCGATCAATGGGCGGTATAGGGAGCGTCTTCAAGAATCATAGCATTCTGCCAAAGGCGTGCGAACTCCCATTCAGCCATATTGCGCTCGATATCCGGCGCCACCTCGACACTCATGTCTTCGTAGGTCTTTGGGTCCTCACGAGATGACCTGTGGCTAGAGGTCGTAGTTGCGGAAGATTAAGGCTTCTCCTGCGTAGACTGCAGAGGCGAAAAGTTTCTGTTGTACATTTTGTAGTCATTAATTCTACACAAGTGCGAAGAAGACAGCACCGAAGCATACAGTCATCAAGGTCGCAACAAATGACGCAGACACCACACTGCCTGCTTCGTTGGGCGCAGCAGGGCTGCTCGTTGCAGAGCCACCTCCCGTACCAGTACCACTGCCGTTGCCAGAGGTGGACGTTCCATTTCCGTTCACTGTGGAGTTCATGGTGTTCAACCGCTTCCTTGGTATGCCCGCAAGCATGATCTCAAGAGCGCTCAGAACCTGTCCAAGGCCCTGAGTTCCATCCCATTCAGTGCTGGACCAGTCGCTGCCACAGCGGACGGCAGTCTGACTATTGTTGGTAGCGGCAGCGCACTGCCGTAGCGCGCCTTGCGCGCTCCTATCGATGATGGTGCTGATGTAATCGGTTTTATTGGTGGAGGAGCTGGAGGTGCCATTGAGGGTAACAACTGTAGTGTTGACCATGTCTCGCACATTGCCAAGGGCACGAGCAAGAGGTGCGCGGAATGCAAGCTGATCCACATTGCAGTTATTATTGGGAGCGCAGGCCACCTCGTAGAGCACATCGTCATCTGTGAACACTGGGAGCTCGGCCAATGCCACCGCACCAATGCTGTTGAACCAACGCGTACAGCTTGACGATTCGTTACAAGCGTAGGCGTATGCGTCCAAGAATTGGCCTGCGTTGATTGTCCATTGAATGTGGTTCACCTCAGAGCAGTTCGTAGTGTCATCAGTTCCGTCATAGATGCCAGAACGGTCGGCATCAACCAGGCCGATGTTGAAGGACCACTCGATAGCTCGCTGCGCCCAGTCCAGGTATGTGGAATTCGCGGTATACTTCGATAAACGAGCACCCAGCTGGGCAAAGTTCGCTTGCGTCAGGGAGTTCTTGTAATTATATCCTGCATTGAAAGTGAAAATCTGCCACTTCAGGCCTCCGCCGCAAGATTCTTCATCCCATCTCGCCACCTGACTGTCGAAGACGTTGGCAGCGAGCTGCGCCCAGGTAGCATTGATCGATACTGGCTCTGGGAAGCCGAACTCTGCGGCAGTCATAGCAGCCAAAGCCCAGGTGGATTGGTCATCGTTACCGAGCGACTTGGACTGGTTTGGCGGCATGTAGTTGAGATCTGGACCGACTTGGAATACCATAGCTTGGCGGACAAGGTCAACGATTGTCTCATCCTCGGTGTATGCCCAGTAGTTAATCAAAGAGTCGAATGCGAGGCCAGACTCCCACCAGTAATATGGTTTAGGAAACAGGCCCGGTATGAAACCAGGCAGAGGTGTGGTCCGATTGCCGTGGTAAATTCTCAGAATGCTGTCCACCAGGGGCCGAGTGCTGTTTCGGACATTTTCTGGACTGTAAACTTGGGACGCATCCCGAGCAGATTGAGCATATGCGATTCCCGCTGATGCCACGAGCCCAAGGAGGCCTGCTATTGCTGAAGAGACGCGCATGTTGGATGTCGTGCCGTGCCAGACGTGTGCGTCGAAGAGAAGAGAACAGGAGGGAGAGGGGACTTACTGGAGCCATTTGGTGTTCTTATTTTGACCGGTCACACGTGTACACAGCCGCCTGAATCCTTCAGGAACCGTTCCTGCGCTGGACTCAGGAAATGAGACTTGGCGGCGAATGGCCGCCGGAGTCTGGCAGGAAGGATTGCAGGCGCTGAATCAAAGGTGGCACAGGATGTAGTGTTGTGCCTCCCATTCCACACACAATGTCCATAAGCTTACAACCACGGTGATCACCGTGGAGCCAATATAACTTGATGTAACTGATGTATTCGAGAGAGACTATCTACGAGAAAGTCGGAAGAAGAAGTGCGGCAGTTGCAGCCTGAGGCATTATGCACGTGATACCTATATACACACTCTTTATGTCACCCCCTTATCGCGTACATACAGCCAAACAAAAGCAAACAAAGGGGTATTAGGTATAGGGACAACTAGACTACTTTCCGGCTATTATACTAAAGCAATCTAACAAACAAGCAGTTAAACTAGATAAACATATATGCCTTCTATCTATTTAGTACTTAGTAGTAGGCTAAGCGGCGCTCTTAATAGCAGCCTTATAATCTACCAAGTTTAACTGCTAAATAAAGCGACTATGCTTAAGCTTATTAAGCGGCTTAGTAAAGCTATTAGCGATTTGATCGTATATACTAATCTAGGTAACATCGACAGTGCTATTAGCGATCTTCTTACAGATATAGTACACTCGAGTATCTATATACTTAGTGCGGCTATTATTTGTTAACTCGGACTAAGTAATAGCAATTGCTAACTAATTATCCTCGTATAGCGTAATAGGCTTAATAGTGCCTTTGTAACTAATATCTTCTAATAAGCGTGCTAAAGCAATAGCTTCTTTAGCGCCTGTAGTGAGCTAAACATACTCAGCTTTAGTAGATAACAGTGTAACTAGCGACTAGCGGCCTAACTTGTATAGAAGCGGTCTACTAGCTAGTATAAAGTAGAAGCCGCTAGTAGAACGACGAGTTATAGGATCGTCAGCCTATAAGGCATCGCAGTATCTAGCAAAGTTAAGCTTATTAGAGTCCTACTAAGTGCCTTAGAAGCGTATACCGCAGTAGAGAGTGCTAACTAGGTACTTAATTAACTAAAGAAGTGCGGTATAGTGTTCCTTAGTCGGATTAGCAATAAACCGTAATAGGAGACTAGCCGTATAGCAGGCATTAGGTCGAGTGATTATTGCAGGCTAAAGTGCTTTACTAATACCTTCTTAGTACTTGGTCTTAAAGGTAGTACTAGCTGTATATCTATTAGGCGTACGCTAAATGCTTAACTTAATATAGCGTAAGGCTATTAGAGTAACTAGACCGTAACTAATACGGCCCTATATACCGTACTTCTTACTAAGTCGGTTTAGATAGGCGTCCTGCACTATATAGATAGTGCGGTCCTTGCGGTTACGAATAATGCGTATACCGAGGTAATAGTAAAGATTACTAAGTTCCCGTATGTTAAAGCGATCCTTTAGCAACTAAGCTACTGCTTAAAGAGCGGCCATTAAATAAGCAATGATAATTATATTATCTACGTAGATAACGATAACTAAGCTACTAATAGTATGTTTGAACACACACACATCGCTTATAATAGGAATAAAGTTCAGGCTCTTTAGAAACTTCCGGAGCTCTTTATACTATAGCATTAGTAACTGCTTTAGACTATAAAGTGCTTTTAGTAGTAGACATACTATGCCCTTGCCTCTACTACGGTCTTTAAAGCCGTATAGCTGCTTAACGTAGATCTTATGCTTGTTGCTAATAAGTGCGTTTAAGAAGGCAGTTAGGATATTATATTGTTAAGCCTCTAGGTTATAGTAAGCAATTATAGCAAACAGGACACGCAGTGTGCTTAGCTTAGCTACTGCAGCATAGGTCTCGTTATAGTCCTGTCCTTTAACTTAAGTGAAGCTACGGACAACCTAACGAGCCTTAAACCGGCTAATATTGCTATTAGCGTCGCGCTTAATAGTAAACACCTATCGGCTACGGACAACCTTGCGACCTTTAGGCACTTCTAGCCGAGAAACGTATACCTACGTATAGTTGTCTATTAACGACTTGTACTTAGCCTTATAGGCCTCCTTCTATTATAGCTAGTGTTGTAATTCCTTAGCGGCCTTAAAGCTCTTTAGAATTAGAATGGTGTCCTTAGGCTTATTAGGCTATTTAGCAATGTAGTAGGAAGCTATAAAGCCCTTTATATAGGCTATCGGCATATTAGCTATTGTACGTCGAGTCGACCGCTTAACACTACAATTAGCTAGATAGCTACGCAATAGGTTACGAGCTAACTTGTTGCTATAGGTTGTACGGGTAGAACGAGCGCCTGTCGTATTAGGTCGCTTAAACTCTAGTAACTAGCTAGGCTCACCCTTCTTCGTATTTAGATTAAAGGGCGGAGCTTGATCTTCCTTAGCTAATTAGAAGCTATCTTTATTACTCGAAGCTAGTAGTTAAACGTCTAGCAGGTTATCGTCGAGTAGCAACGGACTAGCGACCTTATTAGTTACCTCTATGTCCTAAGCAGGCTCGTCTAGAGGCTCTTCTTGCTAGGCTAGAAGCTGCTAGACTACACTAGCGGCTTCCTGTAGCGACGGTGCCTCGTTGCTTATAGAATTAAATAGAGCCGGCATAATAGACTCGAGTGTAACAAACTCGTTTTTAGCTAGGTCGTTAGGATTGGCGTATAGATTCATGCCCTCTAGAAACAACAGCTTATTAGCCGTCTCAATGAATTAGACATCCTTTAATAGAATAACCTTGTACTAGTTAGGGAGGTAAATTATATATTTTCCTAAGTCTACTAAGTCCTTAGCATAGCCGACTAGTTTGCTAAGCTTTCTACGAGCGTCAAACTTCTTGCTACGAGCTACACTATAGTCGTAGACAATAGCAGTATAGCTATAGGCTCGAAGGTACTAAAGGCGTAGCTGCTTTCGAGACCAATTGAGCTCCCTAGCTATAATAGTATAGGGGCTAAGACCTTCTAGGGTTCTAGGTGTGATATTAAGGACCTATATAGCGGAGGCAATAGTATATAGCTACAGAGACTTTAGAAGGTTAGCCTATAGCATTATCTTTCTCGCAGTCGTATATACGATATAGTTGCTAACCTTAGTAAGGCTATTCTAAGTTAATAAATAAGGTGTAGTAACTTGCAGTATAATGCCTTCGTCTTGAGCCTAATTTAATAGCTAATTTCCGCCGTATTTACCCCCTCTATCGAGGCGGTAGATTGGGATCGAATAGCTAGTTTGTATACGGACGTATATACGATGTTCCTTAATTGCTACTACAGCTCCTAACTTTAGTAAGCTAGCATATTCGTATCGATAGCCTAACTTTGCGTATGTGAACAACGTAAAGTAGCGTTCTTGCAGTAGACTAGGGTTAGTAATAGTAACTATATCTATATAGACAATATAGTAAATAGTAGACGGTCGCACTCGTAGCAGTCGGTTGTATTCCTTATATAACATTGCTATACGACAAGCGATATAGTTGCGGAAGTCGGTCTTGTTTCTAGTAATAACAATCTGACCCTTAGCTTCTATTCGTAACAGCTTGCGGTAATAGATATAGCTATATCGTAGATGCTACTCTTCTATCGTACCTGTTAGCACCCCCTTCTTCGATAGAAGCGTAACAACTTAGCTATTAGGTCTAGAGGTTGGTATATGTAGATAGGGGAGACTATTCTTTCGGTATGTTTAAGCAATAGTAACCTTAGAGCCGTTAACAATAGTAAACAGCACTCGCTTGTTATTCCGATAGAAACAGCCCTTATCGGTAAGCTTCTTAGTAGACAGAAGGTTGGCTGCTAGACCTAGAACATACAGTGTATTAGACAGCTTTATACTGCTTATACTACGCTTATTAACAACCTTAGTCTAAGCTATACCAACTATCGTAGCGTGCTTCGTGTTGCTACTAAACCGGACAGGAATATAACAGCCTTTATATTTAATAAGCAATAAAGGGTTATTAACTATATATATGCTAGTACCTAAGTCGATAACCTAATTAGTAGTACGAGTCGCTATAGTGAGTGCTATAGAAGCTGCGTTACTAATAGTGATCGCATTAAAGGCGTAGTTGCTGCTTAGGTCTAATAATACCCCCGGGGTAGTATTAGCCGTATACAGGCCCTAGGTACTATTCTAACTAGATAGCGGCTGTTGCTGTTGTTGCTATACAGTTAGTCTACGCTGCTACTATTGCTGCTTCTTAGCCTTCTGCTTCTCGCGACGAAGACGGTCTTCTTCCTTTAGGTAAGGGTATTTAGTATAGCACCGATCGGATAGGTAAGCGCCTTAGCAGTATAAGCACTTCTCGCGATTCTGACTATTCTAGCTGCTTCTACTACTACTACGACTATTGTTGCTGTTTCCGCGGCTACTACGACCGCTACGGTTCGAGTTACCTCGACCGCTGTTATTATTACTATTGCTACCTTGCTATTATAGTTAGCGCTAAAGACTAAAGAAGCTATTGTATTAGGCCTAGTTTAATTAAGCTATATTCTTATCAAGCAACGCGCTAATAATATTATTAAGGGTATCATCGTTAATAGTGTATTCCGAGGCGCGCATTTGCTTACGGCGCATCTGTACGAATGCCTCGTAGAATAGTGCGATCTGTATAATAAACATATAGATAGCCTAGTATTAGCTAATAGCTAATTTGGTATCCTTTAAGGCACTAAGCTTCTTCTTGTAATTATTGTAGAACTTCTTAATGTCCTTGCTATTATACCGAAGGGTAATATATTCCTAGTAGAGTATAAATTTAGTAGACCTACCTTTACTAGTATATTTCTTCTTAAGGAAGTCCTATACTTCCTAGGATATAGATAGACTAAGCAGTAATTGTTAAATATTACTAATACAATTAGCAAAGATCCAGGTACGCGCTATTTGATCTTTAGAGTCCTATTTATCTTAGCGGTCTTTAAACTCTTTAGAAGACTTACTAGAGGCCTTAGAAAGGGGTCGCTAGCGGGTACCTTGTATATAGCGCTAGACTGATATACCTTTAAGGGCGCCTTTAGCGGCGTACGACTATAATAGGTAATTCTCCTTATTCTTTAGCTTAGGAATGTTGCTTATATAAGCGCTAGAGGTTGTAGGGGGAGCTATTGCAGACAGCGACGGCGATAATGTCTTAAGGGGCGGCCGATAGGCGCGCCTATGTTCTAGTATAGCGGACAGCTAATACTGATGTTAGAAACCGGTGTGGCGGACAGCTAACACGGATAGTAACCGACTCGAGTCGGACTAGCACCTACTAGAATACTCGAGGGCGGCGAGGGTAGCGGCGACGATAATGTTGTCGGCGTAATTTTTAGTAACGAGCGCTATCTACGCAGCAGTCGGATTGACTATTAGAATACGTATAGAATGCGTTAGAAACGCAGGGGGCTTATAACCACTTAATGTAACTAATGTATTCGAGAGAGACTATCTACGAGAAAGTCGGAAGAAGAAGTGCGGCAGTTGCAGCCTAAGGTATTATACACGTAATACCTATACACATACTCTTTATATATATAGGCCTGTTATGTCCACCTATTATTATGCTTATATAATATCTGAGTAATAGCTTGGCTCTGTAATAAGGGGTTAGCTTTTGCAAGGTCGGCCTCTAGTAAGGCGCCTTTAGTAAGGCGCCTTTAGCAAGGCGCCTTTAGTAAGGCCTCGTATGCTAACACGTAGAAGAATAGACAACTGTCGATTATAGAGTTTAACTGCTATATAGAAAGCATATAAAGAGACCTTGTTGCTACTAAATTTATATAGTATCCTACTTATTCGATCTGCCTCTTTTATTAACTAAGAACTAGCTAATCTTCTACCTCTTATCGCTATATCTTAAAACACTTCTAGCGGCTCTTAGCCTACAATCTTCGGTACTAGCACCTCTTCTCGAGTCGGCAGCAATAAGCGGAAGCGTATAGAAGACGAGTATTAGTAGCAAGTCGATCGTAACCGCTCGAGTAGTAAGAACTATCTATATATAACTTGCTACTATTATAGCGATAGCTAGACCTCGAATAAGCGCTCTCGAGTGTTTAACTACCTTACAAAGTGTCTGTTATTGCTAGAGTGTCTCTAGACGAAGTATTAGCCGCACTAAGTAGTTAATATCGACGTTAAGTTGCTAGAAGGTAATTAGATTAGTAAGGAGGCTTCTAGTGCTAGTGCTAAGGTTAGTTAAACTATCCTTCTTAGAAAGTATAGCTTTATCGACACTATAACTCTAAAGCAGTATAAGGAAGCTAGTAAGCGTGTTGCTAAGTAGATATTCGCTACTAGATTGCTACTATATACGACTAAACACCCTGCCTTCAAAGTATAGCTAAAATTACTACGTCTAGCCTTCTCGCTACCTAGTCGCAAGGTTCTAACCTAATACTAGCTTCTAAGGATATATAAGGACCTTCGAGGCGAGATAGACCGTAATATTGCTAAAAGCAATCGGATTACGCTTATAACGGATAGTTAGAGTAATCGGAAGGGTAGAGGCTATATTAACTACCTAGCGGTTATACCTCGAGCGGTATACTTCCTTAGTAGTTAGGCTACTAGCGCGACTCGTAGGTCCGCTAAGCACTATGCTAATAGCTTATTAGAGGTTATAAAGCTATTTAGTAATAAGGTCGTCGCTATAACTACTAACAATGCGAGTGTTATAAGCAAAGTAAGAGATATTATAAGTATTTTCGAAGTGTAAGCGCTCCTACCTAATCGGGCGCGGCAGCGCGGGCGGCACGGCTAGCTACGGGCACTAGACCTATTCCGGCTAATATAATGTTAGATTACTCTGTACTTTCTAAAAGTTATCTTAGTTAGTTGTTATTCTTACTATACTAAGCTTCTTTACGACGACTTATATAAAGAATAGAGCGTTTAGAAGGTATTTAGCGACGTATAGTATGTTTCTAACTACTTTAAGAATATATACCTTCTATTCGAACTACTTATAGAATTTTCCGACGGCAAATGCGTAGCATTTTAGTCCCTAGGTGCTATACGCTAGCAAGGCAAGCTATATTATATAAAGGCGGTCTAGACTAACCGATAATAGATCGAGGCTCTTAGAGAGAGTAAACACCGACTCCTCGATAGTACGAGCGCTACTTAGAAGGAAGAATAGCATTATATTGTCTGCATCTTCGAGGCAGACCGGTTCTAGACTAATTTGTCGAAATATATTAAATTAATAATACCCTTCCTATAGGTAACTATTGCCCTCGAAGCCGATAAGCCTCTACTATCGCACGTATATAGCAATTTTAAGTAGCTCTATAACTAGTCCTAGAATAACGGCCTTCTTATAAACAACGAGATTAAGGTTATAATCGACAAGCGCTACGAAGACCTCTATATTCCCCTTATATTAATCGCCTATCTTAGTAATATTCGAGAGCGTAAGGACCCTCGGAAGCTTATTATTATTAGCAAAGAGGAGGTTTATAGTATAGCTAACTTCCTTATATAATACTGCGAGCGACAACAACGATAAGAGTTACGCGTTAAACTCGAGATAAGAGCCGGTTAATTAATAAGCGACCTCTTCCTTCTACGTAATAGGCAAGGTCTATTTACTAATAAGGTCGTATAGCTGTCCGGCTTGTCTTAGTCGCCTATATAATAGTAGTATAATAATATTAAATCTATATACCCTAACCTCTCGGAATTAATAATACTAGCGCTATTAATAGCACTAATAACTAGTGCCGCCGAGCGCAACTAGTTAGCTTATAGCTTTATTATAAGCCTCCGCCGTAATCGCCTATCTTACGCTACTATCGAGAAGCTAGTCTATCTATATTAGAACCTTTGTATTAAGTACTAGATTAACGATAACTAGCTTATAGACGACGACTTCTACGATCTAGAAGAAGTACTTAAAGCTGTACTAGACGGCGAGGTCGACAATAGCGCCGTTGCTAACCCTAATAGCACTTATAGGGCGAGTTTATAGATATTTCCCGGTATTTACTTACTCTTAGTATATAACGTATCGCTTCTTATCTACTTTTATATAGTAGCTTAGCAGCTAGCCCCGATACGATAAGACCCTCCGTATGTCTACTCGTACGTACGTAGCGGGTTTATTAGTGGACACTGCCCCTATTTTATAACCACGGTGGAAGCACAACACTAACAGGATGTTGTTGTGGGACGGGACGGGACGGGACGGGACGGAAATGCAGTGAGAGGGCGGTGCAAAGTGACAAAGTCTTGGCTTGCTTGGCGGAGATGACTTTACGCATTGGGCGGAACCACTCACGACTGCCAAACGCGTCAACGCATAGCATCCTCAGCCCCGTGCAGCTGGAGCAAGAGATAGAAGAGGAGGATTGCTGCTGCATATTGCGGACCAGCGCATGGTCTTTTAATCGTCGGTTATGTGGTCCTTTTTGGCCTCTTTCGCCATCCGAAGAAGCACGCCGAATGAACAAACGAGAAATCTGCAGAAGGAGTGCTTGTTGTTGGGCATGGGCACAGCATCAAGCTGCTGCTATGCAGATTCACGAAACAATCACAGTTCGTCGCCACTCACCGTATCACGCTCGAAAGATTGCTCGACCCTCTGCGTGAAAGAGTCGTCAAGTGGGAAGAAGAGGAAGAAGTCCCATAATAGATGCGTGACTTGTGATGGTTCAAATGATCCATTGCTACTGATTGTGTCGAATGCGCTATGGTATCCTGCCAGGACATCATACTCCCATGATACTCACTCCGCACCATGGTATAAAGCAGCTAATGGTTGCAGACACCGTCTTTCTGATCATTCACGACAATCTCTGCCCCAGCATAAGAAAAATGGACCCTCTATATCGCTCCTGTTGCTACATATACCAGAACCAAGAAAATCGTCGAAGCTCAAAGCAAAAGAATTAATCCCAAACGCAGCTCTCAGCATGCCGCACCGCTCTCGGGAACACCACAACCGGTTCTCCCCACTCTCTCCAATTCGCACCCTGGGTCGCGGAGTCGCTCGAGCAGTCTATCTCATCACCAATGACGGTTACATGGCCAGAGGTCAACATGACAGCCACAATGCCGCATCTCGAGGCTATCGCGAGCACCGAAGTCACAGGACTGGTTGGGATCCAGTATATCGTGGTGATGGCAGGAGATCATGGACATGGGAAGACCAGGAACGTCAGCGGTATCGTGACGAAGGATATCGATACTACTAAGCGATGATCTCTGACACTCGGATGCCCACGCCTGATCGATACCTCTCTCTGATGGCTTCTAGATACTGCATTGAATGGCGTTATGAAAGTATGTAATGCGAAGGCGTTCTTAGAGAGGAGGCATATAATACCAATTTGAAGCTCTGTATCTGCACACTTCCGCCAGGCGTCTGGGTCCTATAACATACAGATTGAAGAAGTTTCTTTCACGCGTTCTCTCGCAGACTGGCTGCCGCGTAGGCTACGCTCAACGCCTTGTACAATGCATGCAACTCGCGTGAAATACATCCACAAGCCCCACCTTACCATAGTATTTATGAACATTACCACGTCCACCATATTCTTATCTCATGCCGGCACCCATAGCTCCCATACCTTGAAGCCTAGCTGCGAGCTGTGGGTACTTTTCTTGTACCTCGAGTTGTGTTCGTGTGGCCTCGGCGTATGAAAGAGCGTTGACGATTTCGCCTTCTGTTCGGGAAAGTTCGGCAGCGCGTTCGAAGTATTTGAGAGCTTCGGTCACCTTGCCTTGTTGGAGGAGAAGCTGAGCCATCGTGGCCACTGCGATGTCGCATTCGGGGTCAACTGTGCAAGTGTCAGTATGATTCAGATTCGATGATGATGGTGCACTCACTGATTAGTGCTTTGGAGCACAGTTCTTCCGCCGCGCTGAAGTCCTGCTTCCACTGGAAAAGGGCCAGGGCTTTATTGATCAGCGGCAGTACGTTCATACCGCCCTTCTCACCCACTGCCTTCTTCTCCATCTCGACCGCGGTCTCGAATTTCTCAACCGCCTCCTGGTATTTCTGCTGGTCAAGCAGCAGCTCGCCATAGTAGTTGTAGACGTCGCTCTTGTCCCCAAAGTTCTTAATGCATCTTCTGAAGGTCGCCATACTGCTTGCGACTGATCCCATCTTGTATTGTGTGACTCCGAGCTGTATGTGTGAGAATATGAAGTCCTTGTCCAGCTCGATCGATTTCTGGTAGTCGTTCGCTGCATCGCTGAATTCGGAGAGGATGAAGTGGAGCTGGGCGCGGTGGTAATAGATGTCTGGATCTTCTGGGTTGTGCTTGGTGGCCGTCTCGAAGTCGTTCGCAGCTGCTTCTCGCGCGCCTGCAAGCACTCTTAGTCGAGCTTCTTCTGGCCCTCCTGCAGCACCCACGACTTCAGGCTTACTTTGCTCAAGGTGCATGCTAGCGCGCTTGACGTAGCTCTGCACAAGTGATGGGTCAAGCTCGATAGACTTGTTCAGATCTTCGAGAGCCCGATCGTTGTCTCCACGCAAGTATCGGAATGTGCCTCGCATGTTGTATGCCTCAGCTTCGAATTTCTCCAAGTTGCCCTGCTCGATTGCCTTTTCAAAGGCTTCCGCAGCTTCTGCGTAGCCCTCGGCGGTCCGCAGACGGATAGCTTGAAGACCCTTGCGCAAATGCCACTTGCCGCTTCCCTCTTCCAAGTCTGCAGTCTCCTCGAGTCCTGCCGGCAAAGGCTTGGCACGGAACGACTGGAGGTAGTTTGACACGAAAGTCGGCGACGGCAGCTTCTTCTCTTTCGATTCCATGATATCCTTGGCTTTGCTCTCAGCGACCTTCTTCAGCAGTCGCTCAACAGCTTGAGCAGATGACTCGGTGCGGAATTGGTCAATGATGCAGCTAGCTGTGTAGTCAAGCAGCGCTTCCGAGTAGCGGCCATCTTGCTCGTAGGCGTTTGCTCTCCGGTTCAAGGCCTTAACGTATTCCGGGTCGAGGTTGATGGCAGCAGTGGTATCTTCGATGACCTTGGGCCAGTCGCTCATAGCATTGTGGCACGCTGCACGGTTGGAATAGAAGACGGGATCGGCCTTGCACAGGATAGCTTGTGTATATAGATCGATGGCCTTGTTGTAATGCTTGCTGCCATATGCCTTGTTACCGGCGGCCTTCAGCTTGGCCGCGTAGTCTTTGCGCTCTTGATCTGACAGCAAAGTCACCGATTCCTCGGTGATCTGAGGCAACTCCTCTGGCGCCTCTTCTACCACTGACGCTTTCGGTGCAGCCTTTGATGCAGCATCGGGTTTGCCCTGTTCGACCGCCTTTTCGGATGTCCTCTTCGCCTTTCGTTTGTCCTTCTTGGGCTTTGGCTGCGCCGGCGGTTGCGAGAGGTAGTATACTGTGCCGCCTACTACAACCACGGTCACGCCTGCGATTGACCATGCGGCGACTTTGTTGTCTGAATACCAGTTGGACACGCGATCCCAAAATGATGAGCCAGCTGCAGATACCGAATGTGCAGCTTGCTCAACTTTCGCTTCAGCGTTTTGCGCCGATGCCATGGTGGGCTCGCCTGGACCGATCTAGGACGTGGTAATGACGGAAATAGAAATCTAGCGCTCGAATCGATCTACAGGAAAGAGATGGAGAGAGCGGCGATGGGGGCGACGGGGACGGTCGATGTCGAGGAGGACGAATGCAACTGCTGCCGCAGCTTTCCTCAACTCGAGAACGAAACGATTCTTGAGACAAGCTTCAAGCCTCGGATGTCGCGCCGAGCCTTGTTTTACCTTGCCCGCCCGCCTGACTGGCCCTGACATCACAAGATCACAAGCCTTGACTAATCTCTTTTTCCGTCGCTCGCGGTCTGCACATGAAGAATAATAATAATAATATTGATGAGTACCCGTCAAGGGCCGATCACGCGTGCGCATACATATGATTTACCATCCACTGCCGGTGTGAGATGTTCCGGCCACCCACCGACTGATTACGACGCTGTGGTCTGCACCTCCTGAATCGGAGTCATAGCCCAGCACTACATGTACATGCCTGGTCACAGCGTCCTCTTGATGCTGCTCTGAAAGGTATGACTGTTCAATCGTCTGCATTCAATCGCTGTAGTTCTTCGCTCACCACAGAACCAAGCGCCGTGCTCTACCAATGCTCTCAACATGAGCGGTCACTTCAATGGCGGCCCTGCTGGCTCCGCCACACCTAGCGACGACGAGGAGTCATTCGTATATACTAGCATTCGATATGATACACGCCTTCTGAAATCGGATAAGAATACCGCTGCATCTTGCGGTATGCCTTGTCCGTTCTACATGTTGGAACACCATTGGACAAGACTGCAAATTGCCAAATGGAGCACATTCTGCTTTGCGGACGATAGACCAAGATCCAACTCCCGCGGTCCATCAGTGCTCTACAGTACTTTGCTCAAGGCTGTCAAGCAGTGGCACGAGAAACATCCCGGCGAAACTCCCGAATCTCTTCGAATCAAGGTCCGGGCGTACGTCGGAGGTCGTGTACGCACCGAAATCTATTTCCCACTTAGATCCATTCCCATGGAGCAGCTTTTTCCTTCGACGCTCGGCTCACCGACACAGCCTTGGGTCGCTCTCGAATGGACCATCGTGCTGGACTCTCAGGCCACGGAGCCGTCTGAAGGCACGATGTTCAAGACAAATGATCGCTCAGCTTACGGCCGTGCGAGGGCGGCTGCAGAGATCCTCACTTACCAGATACCGAAGGAGGTCCTGCTTTTCTCAAGCGACGGAAACATCCTCGATGGGTCCATATGCACGCCATACTGTTATCGAAACGGTGCCTGGGTCACTCCGGATGCGAGTGCTGGAGGTTTGCAGGGCACTACAAGACGTTGGGCTCTAGAACAGGGTCTCGCTGTTGAGGGAAAGATCGCGGTCGATAGCTTCCGAGATGGCGAGATCGTATGGCTCAGTAATGCGGTCAGAGGCTATTTTCCAGCAAGATTCGAACATCGCGCCAGCGCAGCAAAGGTATCCGGCGACGTTCAGCAGCAGCCTGCTTCGTGACAAAGCTTTTCCAGTGTACAACTTCCAGTGCTGTGGCATACTTCAACTCTGGGCTGGTAATTTCTGATTCGCGAGAGGGTTTTGGAATATTGTTTGAGAAAGAAATAAGAGCAAGTCTACTCTTGTTAAGGCGCCTTGTTTTGTACAAGCGAATTAGGTTCTCACAGGGCGCGACTGCATCCCTCACCACGTCTTGGCACGCATGCCCAGGCAGGCGCGACAGTGTGACTCCACGAAGCCGCGGATACCTTCCTATGCGCCAAAATGCACTCAACGAGTCACCGAAAAGAACGAAGTCAGAGCAGGGATTCAAGGTCCATGCGCAATCTGAGTACCTCGTATGCGACACCGCATGGCGGATACGAGCCCAAGCGATTTTGTGCCTCGGTAAGAAGACACCTGGATGTCTCAACAGCACTCAAAATGCAGCATGCACCACTGCCTGTTGGCCATTTCAGCGACCCTCTTTCCCATTCCGCCTTTTGCACCCCTTCTCACTACCATCGCCATACATATGGAGCTCTGCCTCATCCGAACTACGCTTTTGGCCTCCTCCGCCATCCGTTCTCGAGGCGCCAGAAGCCTGTGGACGGATACTATCATTCGCTTGCTCCAAGTCAAGGGGCTCTGAATTTGCGTCCAGGGGGACGGGATCGATCGAAGCGAAAGCAACTTTTTCATTCAGCTCTGCTAAGGATCTCGCGTTCCAGCTAGAATCGCTCAGTGCTTTCCTGGCTATCATTGGCAGCGGCTCATGCAATATATCCTGAAGCAAGAATCTTTCCAATGGCGATGCGGGACGAAGTTCCGAGGATCGATATTGACGAGTGATGAGGCCCAAGTCCACGGTACTCGAACGATGTCTGAACAGTCCGGACATCCCAATATTGGTGCTCCCACCATCCCGGTGAGCGCAGTGAGCTTGCTCCGTCTTCGGTAGTTTTCCCACGAAAGCCGGTCTTCGTTGCTGTCTCTCGACATATCCTTCAAGATGGCTGCCAATCTGGACGGGGTTAATCCGGGTGACCGTACGGAATTTATCATGCTTACGCCAGCAAGATGGGCAGCGACGTCGCTGGCATCCAGAGTGCTAGACACCTGTCTACGTGTGATCCCGATCCTCGAAACCTGAAAACTGCCTTGATCACCTCTCGACATATCTGGTTAAGCCTTTCTTTGATACATAAAGCTTGCGAAACTAAGTCTCTCCATCTCTGCTACCGGCTTAAGCGGCGCCTTTGTAGGCCATCTGGACAGCGCTCATTTCATAGCAGGCTATTGCCATTCAACAACCCGGCGTGAGAGCGGAAGGCAAACATCTACAGCCGCCGAAAGCTGCAGGTTACACAAGTACCTCGATTTAATTCATCAAGGAAGATCGAGCCACAGGGCACCAAGGCCATGAGCCATGTCTGCGCGGAACGTCTATCCACAGCATGTACCTGACAGGTGCGCACCTTGATATCAACCTTGCTCAACTTGCGTGTGGCCTGCCAAAATGCGCTCACATACCCGTAGCGGACTCGACAGACATTCCGGCCTAATGCCTAATGCCGTAATTTCATAAAGACATCATCAAGGGTCGATCGATATGGTATAGATCCCAGCCTACTGCGGCTCGAGCCCAACCTTACTGGCGACCCTTCATCTCCAGTGCGATGGATGCACCGACGCAGCAAACACAAGACTGCGGTTCGCACTGCACTGCACTGGTCCCTCTGCATGTCTAGAGCTCTTGACGGCTACTGTATGTGGCATAAGCCCTACGGAGCATCTGCTGGTTTTGCGAGTAGGAAGTCACAAAACACTTGGGACTTCGTCAGGCAAGACTTTTCTTGCACGAAAAGACAACGGAGTCTCCTCTTGCCTGACGGGCCCTCCACAGCGCAATTTCACGCCTTCCAACTGTAGGTCGGGTCGACCCGTTGTTACACCCTCTTTCAGTGTTTCGGTGGTATTCTCTACGCCCTGTGGAATAGCCCCCGAGCCCTGCGACTGCTGTTATATCCAATGGGAGAAGCAGATTATACCTGTATTGAGTCACTCGAAATGACAATCTACCACTCGGGCGGCGGACGCTACTATTCGCTTCTTGAAGGACGCTGTACGACTTATCTATACGGAGGATCCAGTCACAACATGCTTCTAGAATCTTGATGATTCCACGGGAGTCTGTTGGTGCAGGGGTATGAGTATTGAGTTAAGCTTGACAGGAGTCTAATCCATGCCAAGCTGTTCAACCACAGATCATTGGCGCACTCGGGCTCTGTACGCACGCAAGCCTACTGGGAAGCAACAGCCCACATCTTAGCACTCGGCGAGATTGGACAGCTCGCAGCATGTCTCCTGCACTTCTCACCGGAACACTTGCCCAAAACTTGATATATGCGGTTCTACTGGACTGTACACACCTTTACGGCTGCCGGACGCCAGCTTCGCAAACCCAATGTGCGCTATGCCATTCGCTTTATCCGTCTAGCGACTCTTGGGATATCTTTAGATTACTTTGGTATACGAGGCTCCGCGACTTGACATTGGACACTTCGCGAGGACTGCAAGTATATCGAACCGCTGCCAGTAGAGGTGCCTACCGATTCATGATGCCTCAGACGTTCCGGCTAAGCCTCCTGTCAACTGGTCCTATACATCTAACAGCGGATGCGGGCCAAAAGTTCGGCTCTGGAATCCTAGTACTACGGCTACCTCCAGCGTTCCTGGTTCACGCTCCAAGCTCCGGAGAGATTGCGCTCCTCGTCATTCGAGTACCTCGTATAACACTTCATAAGTCAAGACCATCTAAGCTTCTTTTAGCTCGACCCGATGATCTCGGTAATACGTCGAATTGGATAGGACGTCGCTAGTTGTCTCCAGCTTGCGTGCAGCAATACAGAGGACAGCCCAAACCGCAAGTTGTAGCTAACCTGCCTCGTCTATCCGCCTGCTTGGAATTTGTACAGCAATTGTGCCTGTCATTTGGCGAGCGAGATCTTCAACAAGCCAGGGCATCTACAGATGGTTCCAGAGATTCCGGCCGAGCTCTAAAATGACACGATCAATTGCAGCCGATGTGCATCACTGTTTCAGCTCTCAATGGCATCATCTTGCGTCTCTCTTCAAGTCTCTTGCTCATCTCCATGGCTTGGCTGTTTCAGAGCTCCAGAATTTCGAGACTGCGGTAGCACGCGATAACGTTGACTCGGACCATCCCAGCAGGCCATGTATGTACGAGAGTATGCATATGCGAACCTCAGGAGAGATGTTACTGTTAGGATTTATGAAGACTCCTATCATGACATTCATCAGACCTGCTTCTGTTTTAGTGCGACTGTCAGCCCCCACCCAGGCCATTATCCATGAGCGCAATCGAGCGTCGGAGCTTCATCGTCAGCGTCCCCAGTGTATCCGACTTGCTTCCTCGTAACACAAATATCCCACGACGAAGCTGCATTGAACACCTCTTTGGACATCACACTCACTTGTACCCGTCCACGGCACTTTGGTCCTCACCGGCGCTATCCTGTGACGGATAACATGTCAGAGGCATAATTGAGAAAGTAAGGGTCGATCTGGTCGCTCACACGTTCTTCACCACATTGCCAGTCTCTCCAGTCATGTCACACCTGATAAAGATCTCGTCGCAGCTGCGGAATCAATGCAATGTCGCCTTCTGCTGATTGCGTCAAATAGCTACCTCTCAGTCTTGGCAGCGTTTGAATCAGCACCCTCTGCGTTTCTATTCTGTGGAAAGCCCGGCAGTTCTAGGAAAATCCCTTCCTGGTCTCATGCGGAATTCTCGGCTGCCAGGGAAGGAATTGAGTTCAGATACAAAAGAGTTGTGTTTTCATGCATGGCAAAGGAATACTCGAGCGATGCCTCTGGACACGTACGGCCTCATCTGCAAATGTGCCTTCGGTCGCAAGTACGTTTACAAATGTGGAGCGGTAAGGAGAGATTCTTACCTCAATAGGAATGGGAGGCATCAAGAAAGGCTCTCTCTGCTTGTCGCAGCCGTAACTAAAATTGAATCACTGCACTTCATTTATGCTCTACCGGGGCTGGAAGCGACTCAAAGCGTGCATTGCTACTTGACCACGCTACTTTCCATTATCAATGCCAGTAAGATTTGACCTGCCTTACATTGAGTCACGGATCCTTCTCCAGCGGAGACACTTCTCTGCCATCGGTCGTGAGCTTCCTCAGCACAAAGTTACATGGCTGACCGCGAATGTTCATACAGACTGGAACCGTGTCCAAAATGAATCTCTGCACACCTGAACCCCCTGCCGAAGAAGCCACGCCCGAAGATCCATCATCCGACTGACCGTTGACACTGGTTTCGGAAGGAGTGAGAAGACAGTTGTATCCTGGTTTAGAAATGTCGATATCGCCAGTACTCTCGGTCAACTCTTCGAATAGCTTCGAAGGTTAGCAGGAGAGCAAAGCATTTGGATGGCGTTCGGGAGAGGAGGCCACTCATGGCTGCAGATGCTGACGAATCGACATACTTGCGTCCGTGGCCGGTATCCATATCACTGATTCCTTTGACTACACGTTTGCTGGTAACACGAAGCAGAGGATCGTGGCACTTTCCGGAGGACAGCGGTTGGTGCTTGATAAAGACGTGCAGTGTGCAATCTCGTCGCCAAAACTTCCAGAGCGAGGATGTTGTAAGGACTCCATGTCGAATCGCCGTATCACGAAAGATGACCTCAGTTTGAAGGGAGGAGTTGAATACATGTAGCATGTGAAAGGCCGGATCGTGCGGGTGAGCGGGTGGTTGCACACGAACGCTCTTGCCTCCCAAGCCAGATTTCATGCTCCCTGAAACCGTCCGCACAACCTGAAGCCGCTCGACTGCATGCGCGCAACATCGCCGTGTTTTCATCAGCACTGCACACAGAACATCATCTCACGGCTTCGCTGCAGGCGCTCCTGACGACGGAAGTCGGGCTGAATCCACAGCGTTTGAGGCAATGGCGGCCGCTGAGATCAACGCGAATGTGCGCAGCTTCACATCCATCGGTCAAGCGCAAGCAAGCGCGACTTGCCGCCTTCTCGACCTGGCGCCAGAGCTCCGCAATGAAATCTACGAACGCGCCTTCTCCTGCAATGGCGAGAGGATCGATCTGAACAGAAGACAGCGAAACTGCTTCTCACCAGCTTTGCTCCTCACCTGTCGTCAAGTCTATCAGGAAGCCGCAGCACTCTTCCGTGATACTGTCTACGACCACTACACGACCAAGGAATTTCGGATCACCCTTCATAGCAAAGACACACCTTATCGCACACTTCGTCGAATTGCAACGCGCTACAAGCTGCAGAACATAAGTTATCTCGAGCTCAATCTTGTGTTCGGTTCGCATGAGACCCCGAACCCCAGGCGAGCGTGGTTCACATTGCAACCAGATCGCGTGACTTGGAAGTTCGAGCCAGTAAGATGCGCGGGTACGGTAAGGTACTATCTGCCTCTGAAAATCACAAATGATGGGCCAGCAACTCGTGAGCTTCAAGGGATGGGCCCGGCCTGGCGTAACCACGTCGTGAAGCATCTGCTGGGGCGGCCAAACAGCCCAATTCAGACCAACATCCAGAGACAGGTGGAGGCTTTGCTTACGACATTCTCCATCCCGGATAGAGGATGAGAACTTGAGAAAAGAAGTCCAAAGTCAACACCAGAGATTTGGACTACAAACGTCGTCGGAGCTTGTGTTGCATGACCTTGGGATCAAGACGATTTGCCATCTCGAGAGCACAGGCACCAAAAAAGAAAAGAAAAAGAGGCAAGACTATCCCATCAGCTTTTGGCAATTGGCTCCGGCAAATTAACCCCCGTATCGTGCTGTATGTTGCATCTGAGAGGACCGTCATCCGAGCGCAAGCAGCTGAAGATTTCTGTGGAGCAGATTCAAGGGACGGTGACGTGAGAAACGCGCGAGGCCGTATTTGCTGGTGCGTCAGAGGCTTCCATTGCTCTTCCTTCCGTCGTGTGTGGATGTGAGCTTCACTCTGGTGATAAATGTAACCGCAAGAGGTCTGTGAGGGATGGATGAGGTGGAGCAGTGTATACAACCAGGCCACTGCCATCTCCGGCTCGTCGCAAACCTTCACCTTCATCTCCCGTTGATTTCCTCCTGCTCGCATTCTTTCTGTATATCCGGGGTTTCGTCAGTCACTTCACACCCGCGGCCGCAGCCCGGATACATTGATCGACTCGCCTTGGGAGGCCAGTGTCTGGTTGCTCTGCTCCAAAGTTGCTACGTGTGTGGCCTGAAGAGACGCATGCCACAGACAAGGATCGGGCCTGAGTCCGCTCGAGATGACGACCGCTGATGCAGCTTCTGCCAGGTTTCGGGCAAGATCTTGCCAACCACAGTTAGAAGCATGGAGCTCGCGAAGTAGAATCAATGTAGGTCAGCTATCAGATGCACCGACTACGCGATTCCTCTTGGGCAGGCCTAGAGATAGCGTGACCGACCATGGAGTATATTCTTGGGCTGGGCCTGGCCCTGCCAATCGCAACCTCAACAGGCATCTCGGTCGTGACTGGAGTTGCACAAGGAGTTTCTGAACAGAGGAAGCGCAACGCAGATGCGTCAAATCAAACACGCATGCTCAAATTCCACGTCGATGTGTGGGTCGATGCTTCATTGCGGAAGGGCAAGGGCGCGGAACTCCATGACACGATTCTAACGCTGCGCAAAGACAAAGTCTGGGTAGAGGCGAAGAGTCCGATTACAAGACAACCAGCAGACGTAGCTCACCATCCATTCACCGGCTTCTACCTCGAATACCCCGACGACAACAGAGGCTTTTGCAGAGGTCTTGTCAGCACGATCAGTGTCGACCCGCCAATGCTGAACTGGATATATGTGGACAAGGATACATATGAGGTCAAGTATGCAGCGAGATCAGGAAGCATTATGCATCATGTAGGCGACTTCGACTGGACGACGGATGCCAATGAAGACAGCTGCATCACTCTTGATGGCTTTGAGGGTTTTGTTGCGGTGGAAGAGGAGGATGGCGTGTGGGCGCTGTATTTCGATATGGATGATGACGGACTGAAGAGTAAGAGGAAGGGCAGGAAGGCTGTTGAGGTACACTTGCAGCGAAGAATCATTGTTGGGCAAGAGCTGAACAAGTGGGGGTTGAAGGAGGAGGGCAATATTGGGTTCAAGAAGACGCGAGAGGTGTAGGGATGCATTCGCAGGGCCAGAGAAGGTCATGATAATATCTAGCCCAGGTCGGAATATCCTTGCCAAGACTGGAAGCAGCGTGCCTGTAGTGAGGTGAGGATCTATGCGCCTTCACCTGCAAATGTGATAGATTCCACGCTTCACCTCGTTCATGTGCCAATGTGTAACCTCCTGCAGACTACGTACAGTACTGTACAATGAAAAAGTTGCCGCGTCCGAGAGATGCCTAAAAACGCGCACCCCGGCCTTGATTGGATGGGAAGTCGCGTCGTGCGTCGTGGGGCGCTGTGAGCCCTGAGCTTGTCACGTCGCCTTCGAACTTCCACCAACAAGACTGTGCTGCGGCCAGCCCTGCGACTCGCTCGCCGCTGCTGTCCGACCAGAACAGGTTACTTGTCCCACTGCGACTTATGAGGCCTCTGGACAGGTGGCGTACCACGCACGACATCATTGCTGCGGCGGCCCCACGATCGCACGTCGGCGCCTGGTGAAGGCGCGCCCGCGGAAGCTGCCTGACCCTCCGGGTCGTGGGCATCGTGGCATCTATCACATTCGTGAACATTCGCCTTCACTCTTGTGCCACCAGCACCGGCACCAGCACCGGCGACGGCACACACGCGCCCGTGACGCCGTGACGCACCTCTCTTGAGCTTGCCGCTCTCGCTTTTCTCCTGCGCGCAGGCCGCTTGCAACCATGGCATCAACAACCACCACCCCTCGGGAACTTGAGGCCATCGAAGACGATCTCGCCTTCAACGCGGTCCTTGTCGAAAGCCTCGACCCATACAGTGACGACTATCACGACCGTCTGGCCGACCTCGAGTTGGACAAGGGCCGACTGGAAGCCGAACTCGAGCAGCATCCTGTCAACCAGCGCCATAGTCGTCCACCTAACCACCACCAGCGTGTGGACGGCGCTTCCGACAGCGCTGCCGTCCGCGACGATTGGTGGCAGCACGCCATGAACGGAAGCCCGGCGAGGAACCAAAGCAGCGCTGGCAGCATGTCCTCAAATGCCAGCCAGCCCAATCCACCAGACTACCAATCGCAGGCCAACCCTGGCCTCAAGCGTGGTCGGCCGGTGCCTTCCTTTCTGCCTGATCCATTCGAGCCAGCTTCGAAGCGTCCCACTCCAGATCCCTCGAATGCTGGAACTCCGACTTCATCGACTGGCTCTGACTATGTCGATGTTGCGCGCATGCGCCAAGAAGCTGCAGTGCGGAGACAGCAAGAGACCCTTCAGCAGCATGAAATGGCCCATCGAGATCATGCCTATGCCCAACAAATGAATCAACCGCGTCCTTCCCAGTCCGTCGCTTCATCTTCGAGGCCGGGAGTGCAGACCACTCTTAACTATAGTGGCGGTTATCACAAGCCGCCCACTCCGCTTCCTATGATCAAGACGGAACCTCCTGCTCAGTTTACTCAGGCTTCAAGCTCTCGAGGGAGTTACCCGGTCCTCCCATCTCAGCAGATCAAGCCCGAGCCCTCGTCATCACGAACGCAGCAGCCCTCTCCGAATCTCGCCTTCCGAAATCCACCTGCTATGATCGACCTGACCGGGAGCGACAGCGACGACGATTTCGAAGAGATCAACCCTACACGATTCACGCCGAACGGCCGCCAGTCGTCACGCTCGGCCCAGCCAGTCTCACAAAGTGCGCCAATTCCCTATCGCCAGCCAATGCCAGGTGGCTATCCTGGCACTGATCCCCAGCATGTGTACAGCAACGCTGCAAACCATACGTATACAGCACATGACCCATTCGCGCAACTTCGCAACCAGATCGGTCATGGCATGCAGAACGGGCTGCAAGCACTTGGAAGTGGCACGCGTCAGCTCACCAATCTGATGTTCGGCTCGAGCGCTCGTCCTTATGACCTGGATGATGACGATGACGATGAACTAGAATACGTTGGACACCGCCAGCTTCCAGGATACGCCAATTTGTACGATGGTCGTGAGGATCTCTATAATCAACGCTACAATGACTTTGCCGCTTACGACCCTTCAAAGTCGAAGGAGGAGTTGGAAGCATTGCTAGCAAACATTCGTCCGGATGAGGACATGCCTGCGCATCTCCGTGTTCAGACTCCAGAGGACATGTCTGTGAGGCTGCACAAGTATCAGGAGCTGGGTCTCACTTGGTTGAAAAACCAGGAAGAGAGCTCGAACAAGGGCGGCATTCTTGCGGACGATATGGGACTGGGAAAAACTATTCAGATGCTCTCTCTCATGGTTACCCGAAAGTCCGATGATCCTCGCTGCAAGACTACGCTCATCATCGCCCCTGTTGCGCTGATGAGGCAGTGGAAGTCGGAGATTAGAAACAAGCTGAAGCCTAACAAGCAGCTGACAGTTTTTACTCACCACGCCACGCACAAGGCCAAGAGCTTCGACGAGCTGCGCCATTTTGACGTTGTGCTGACTACCTACGGCACCATCGCAGCAGAGCTGAAGCGACTGGAGAAGTTCCAGTTGAGACAACTGGCAAATCCGGGCGCGCGAATTCAGCCATCACATAGTGAGAAGACCATATTTCTTGGCGAGAATGCTCCCTGGTACAGGGTTGTTCTGGACGAAGCACAATGCATCAAGAATCGGACAACGCAGACATCCAAGGGTGCTTGCTTGCTCAATGCTAAATACCGCTTCTGTGTCACCGGCACCCCGATGATGAACAATGTAGAAGAGTTCTTCTCTCTGATTCAGTTCTTGCGGATCAAGCCATATTGTCATTGGCAACGCTTCCGGAACGACTTCAACACACCTTTGCGCTCCTCCAGCGATCAAGTCCGCCAGCAGGCCATGAAAAAGCTGCAAATTCTATGCAAGTCCATTATGCTCCGTCGTACAAAAAAGAGCACATTTGAGGGCAAGCCGATCCTTGTCCTGCCTGAGCGTACCACGGATGAAGTCAACCCAGTCTTCTCCGAAGACGAGACGGCTTTCTACCATGCTCTGGAGACGCAATCACAAGTCACCTTCAACAAATACCTGAGGGCTGGCACGGTCGGTCAATCGTATTCTGCGATCTTGGTCCTTCTCTTGCGCCTGCGCCAGGCGTGCTGTCATCCTCACCTGATCAAGGACTTTGGTGTCGCTGCTGCTGCTGATATGAGCGAGGACCAAATGCTTGACTTCGCTCGACAGCTGGAGCCACAAGTCATCGAGAGAATCAAAGCCACAGGAGGGAACTTTGAATGCCCTGTCTGCTACGATGTGACTGCTAATCCTGCCATCTTCATTCCCTGCGGTCACGACACGTGCTCAGAATGCTTCGCCAAGATTGCTGACCCTGCGATGGCTATTCAGAATGGCGACGAGCGTGGTCAGGCCCGGTGCCCCAACTGCCGCAGTAACATCGACCCGAAGCGTCTCACAGACTTCAACAGCTTCAAGAAGATCCACATGCCTGAGCTTCTGACACAAGAGGAGCAGGCCTCTATGGAGGAAGATATGGTCGACTCCGATTCCGATAGTGATGAAGACAGTGACTCTGATATCGAAGAGAAAGAAGACGAGTATGAAGACGACACCTTGGATGGCTTTATTGTGAATGATGAAGACGAAGTCGAGGCGGACGAGTCAGATTCCGACGACCTCGATCGGAAGCCAAAGAGAGCCAAGAAGCGAGTTGTGGTTGATGATGAGGAGACTGATTCCGATGACCTGGATATCAAGCCAGCCAAGATCAAGACCGAGGTGAATATTAACGCAGGACCTTCCAATGCGGTGATCGATGAGGCTGATGAGGCTGATGAGGAGAAGCCAGCCATCAAGAAGAAATCGAAGGATAAGGGCAAAGCTAAGGAGAAGGGCAAGGGAAAGGGGAAGGGGAAGCAAAAGGAGAAAAAGAAGAAGAACAAGGCCTCCAAGACTCTTGCTGAGCTCAAGAAGGAAGCATCTCGCAACAAGACGGCGAAGAAGAAGTATTTGAAGCGGTTGCGCAAGGACTACATGGGCTCTGCCAAGATCGAGAAGACCATGGAGATCTTGGAAGAGATCATGCAAGACAAGGAGGGCGAGAAGGTGTTGATCTTCAGCCAGTGGACTTCTTTGCTTGATTTGCTTGAGATCCCGATTGACGAGCAGGACTACGGATATCGTCGGTACGACGGTAGCATGAGCGCCAGCATGCGTGGTGACGCTGTCGACGATTTCTGTGACGACCGCAAGAACGTCCGCATCATGCTGGTTTCACTGAAAGCTGGCAACGCGGGACTGAACCTCAACATGGCCAGCCAAGTCATCATTCTTGATCCCTTCTGGAACCCATATATCGAGGAGCAGGCTATTGATCGTGCTCACCGCATTGGGCAGAAACGCCCAGTCAAGGTCCACCGTGTCCTCATCAAGGGAACAGTCGAGGATCGCATCATCGCCCTGCAAGAGAAGAAGCGTGCCTTGATCTCCGAAGCGCTTGACGAGCAGCAATCTCAGCAGCTCGGCCGTCTCGGTGTTCGCGAATTAGCGTACCTGTTCGGCGTCACCAATGATCCAAACCAGCAAGTTGCCTACCAGCCGCGTCAACGCCAGCGCTAGGCGGTAAATACAATTCTAGATGATTCGAAACGAATAACGCACCATACCATGTATTGCTATCGGGAACTGGCGTTCTCGCGTACATAGTCCCCAGGATTCCGCACCTATAGGCATGCGGCATTGAGGTCTCTTCACGGCGTTGAGGGGTACTGATGATGTGGTGAGAATAATGCAGTGATACCCTCAAAATAGCACCATGGTGTGGCATTAGATGCAAATATTAATAAACTTGGCTCTGACACATCCTTTTTCTGCAAGTAAATCTGACTTCTGTTGCCTCCAATGGTCTAGTAGTTTTCAGGTCTCACATCACAATCTCAGAACCTCGCAGACTCACTATCTCGGACATGACACAAAGGCCGCAGGTTCGGATCGAGTTGTCGTTCGCTTTACCTCGTCAATACCTGATGCTTGCACACGCCGGTAGAGCAAGCTCGCCTGCAAGCATCCGCAACACTCCGTCAGCTAGCTAGCTAGAATTTTGCTGGATCTAATCTGACGTAGAATGCACGCCTGGGCTGCCGCTTGAGATGCCTGGGAAAGTTGGAGATTCTGTCGATCGGTCTGGCCGATGCTGTTTACAGTATATAAAGGCGCCTCGTGCGGCCGTTGGCGGTATCTCAGTCCGTCTCGGCCAGACACTGACCTTGTCCGCTTCCAACAACGGCGATCGGTCGTGAACAGCTCACATCAGATGCGGTAATCGAGCTTAAAGTTGCTTGATCCGTGCTTTGATCTTGTGCATACCAAAATCTGGAGCGCACGTGCGTGAGTGGGTGAACGAAGTTGAAACTCGAGGATCGCCAAGGCAGAACGATGAGTCAGCACTGTTGGAGCTTTAGCGCGTCGCAACAAACCCTGCCAACCTGCCTCCCAGCTCGACTTCCTCTACGGCGGGAATTTTCTTCTTGTACTTGGAAACATTCTCGTCGGCCGTTGCACTACAAACATCTGTCCTGACGCCCAACAATGGCCGACGTAGCGACGGACTCCCTGCCAGCAACTGCTGCTACTGCTACTACACCCACCAGGCGCGTTGGAAGGCCGCCAAAGTATGACTGGGCCGACAAGAAGGATCTCTGCTATCGCCTCTATGTCACCGAACAAAAGAGCGGGGCAGAGATAGTCAAGTATTTCGCAGAGACGTTCAGGACCAACCCGAGCGATATACCATGCAAACGTGGTTTCCTTCGCCAATTCTCGCTATGGGGATTCCCTACTCATGCAAAAAAGCTATCTCAAGATGAAGAGGAGGCCGTCTCGATTCGCATGCATGAGCTATGGGAGCAGAATATGAGCCAGAAAGACATGAAGCTTACCCTGGCAAACGAAGGATGGCAATTGAAAGACTATGAATTCAATAAAATCTGGAGGAAGAATGGCCTAAGACTCAGACTTGGTAAGGGCTACAAAGTGCCCGAGGCAGAGAAGTCCAAGAAACGCAAGAGAGCAGCTTCCGCAGCCGCGGAAGAGCCAACGTCTGACCTTCAAGCGCAACTGGAGACCGCAGCAGCACTAGGCCCAGAACCGGCACCGGAGCAAGAAGAGATCAATCAAGACGTCCCACTGTCTTTGCCGATGAGTACAGAGGAGCTTGCTCGACGACAGCAGAGACTCTTCGAGATTCAGCTCGAGTCCGATCAGAAGATGGCCAACAAGAAACGTCGGCGCCGAATTCGAGGATACAGTCACTTACCTGCGGATGCTCCCGGCACTGCGCCTAGGTATGTATATTTTAGGACTTGGCCTAAGTGCAAGACGATACAACCGATGCTAATTCTACTTAAGATACAACTCAGAGACCAGTCTTGACGAGAGCAAAGCCTACTTGCATCTCACCAATGAGATGTACCAGACAATACGGAAGGACTATCAAGCTATTTGTGAGGAGATGGGAATCAAGAAAAAGACCCAGTGCGCTGAAGGCGTTTGGGAGGAAAGTAAGGCCAAACTCATTCGCGAGAACATGCACTTGATCAATATGACGCATCCACTACAACCAGACCAAGATCGTAAGGCTATTGCACTTGAATGCATATGCGCAGATGTGACGAAGCGCATGCGAAACGCGGTCACGCATTTGTCGGTAGCTCAGGCCAACAATGTGCTTGGCATCAATCCAGCTACTAGCAAGATGATCCGACGCTCCTTCTACGAGATCCTTGCTGCGGCCAACTTCGAGTCGCGACTTGTCAGCGGAGAAGACGAATGGCAAGCTTTGAAACAGCAATGGTACGATGCAAACGAAATCTTGCAAAATGCAGTAAACGAGGGTGATACCCAGAAGACCAAGGCAATCGATCTCCTGGGAAGCGATGCAATGAAACGCTTTCGGGAGGACAAGAACAAGCAAGGGTATGGAGCTCCTGCTCAAAAGAATGCGAGATATGGTCCAGGGCCCGGTGCAGCTTGGGCAACCACGATACCACGATCGACCATAGTGGTTGAGTCCCCCGCCCCGCGCGAGTCTCCTCGCGGTGCTCAGATATCTCAGCCTCGAGCACGAGCAGCTGTCGAAAGTGGTTATCCGTCACAACCGAATGGCAATTTCATTGGCACTCTGGCTCAAGCGACAGGTGACATCAACTTCGACCTCGATCCAGCGCTTGCAACGCCGTTCGTACGACCTGCGGCGGAGCCAGAAGTGCTAGCTCAGCCCATCGGATCATACTTCAGACTCGCCACGAATTCCAATCTCGTTGGGCATCATCCAAAGTTGTGGTTGGCGAAGCTGACTTCCAAAAGCATGGCCGCTCTTCATAAAGCAGCAACGAGCAAGGCTGGCGCTGCGAAAGTAGCCCAGATCAAAGGCATTGTGAAGAACGGGGATGGTACCGAAGACAATTGGCAAATCGATGATGACGATGAATTGCAAGCGTACCTCGATATCGCTGGTGAAAAGCCAACGTTCGTCGTATTGATTGAAGCTGGTTACACTTGAAGGATCATGTATGCAATCGGATTTGCTCGCTTTCGTACAAAGGTGCGATGCAAGTGCGGTCGAGAGATGGTGTTGGATGTAGCAGACTTTTAGCGTCCCTGTCAGACCGCTGCACTAGTGCGCCCGTTTACTAGCGTCTTACGCCGCGACAAAAGATCGGAAGTATCCGCGCTTACTAAGCGTAGATCTCGGGCGCACTTATAGGCTAGGGTCGCTACGTGCTTGGCGCTAAGCCTCCTCGGCTTCCGCCTTATACGCGCTTCCCTTTTCTTAGCTACGGCCCTATAGCTAGTTAGCCTTAGCATACCCCGTACCCGCACGTGCAGCCGAGTAGCTAATAAAATCTTCTAATGCCCCGTACCCGAACGTATAGCCGAGCTAATAAAATCTAATACCCCGTACCCGAACGTATAACTAAGTATCTAATTAGAATTGCGTCGCAATCTAATAAACAAACAAGCCTATAAGCTAATCCCTCTAAGGTAGGTGCGCCTATAGCCGAGTCGCGCGCCTAAGGCAATTAGGCACCTCTAAAGCCGCGTCTACTAAGGATTAGCCTAGTCGGCTAAGAATGTACGCTAAGAATCGAACGCGCGACCTTAACCTATAGACCGTAAAGCGCAGATACTATATTAGACCGCTATACTAGTACGCCCGTTTACTAGCGTCTTACGCTACGACAAAAGATTAGAAGTATCTACGCTTACTAAGCGTAGATCTCGGGCGCACTTATAGGCTAGGGTCGCTACGTACTTAGCGCTAAGCCTCCTTAGCTTCCGCCTTATAGTCCTATTCTTTTAGGTTCCTACGGGACTGTCTCTACTATTTCCGCTAGGAAATAGCCTAATTATTAGGCGTATAATAGGACCTACTAAACTTACGGAAATGCTCGGTTTTAGCGTATTAGCTCGGTTTGCCTAATTAGGCTATATTGTTATCGCAATTAGACTAGTATAGCGACTTCTAAGGTGTTATTACTATCGCTACTATCGCTGCTATCGCCTATCTAATTCTTTCTCTTATTCGGCCTCTTAATAGTACGCGGCATTATCGCTACTAATCTCTTACGCTTGTTACTATTATATTTATTAGAAGTCTGCCTCTTACCTACTACTTCTCGTATAGTGTTATCTTCTTCTATCTAAGGAAACTACTCTACTACTTCTATATCTTCTTTTAATAGCGAAGCCTCTCTTACTAGCGCTACTAGCGCCGCTAGTAAAGTAAGGTCTATAAGCTTAGCTATTTCTTTAATAGTATCTAAGTCGAGCGGCTAAGCCGATTATATAGATAATAGCGACTCGCGCGGCTACTATAGTAGCGGTAGCCGCGCCTTCGAAAGTAAGAATCTAAAGGGTAGCGGACTCGGCGTAAGAAGGTCGATTACCTATAACGGTCGTATTAGTAATAAGAGCGTCTTATTAAGTAGTAGAAGATTAAAAGCTCGAGATCTATATTTAGTCGCTAGCGGCGGTAGTAGTAGTAATAGAAGGGTCGGATACTATAGCAATTAGTAACGAGTTAGAGTAATAGGTTTAGGTAGAAGTTATATCTACTATCGCTATCGGTTACTAGTTAATTAAACCTTAGGCGCGCCTTCTCGAAGGAAGTCGTCTAGCGAGAAGTTAGCTAACTAAGTAAGCGTATCCTTTACCTTATATAAGAAGCCTCTTATAAACTTGTCCTTTAGCGTACTATCGTAGATTGTCTTATTGTTACGGACTATATAGAAGTACTATAAGAGGCCTTCTATACCTTCGTTAAAGTAAGCGCGAAGGTCTCGAAGATAGGGGTCGCTAGCGGTATAGTTTTAAGTGTCCTCGAAGCCCTCGAGAAACAAGGTAGTACTATCTCGTTGCCGCTAGTATTAACTAATTTCTATACTATTAAAGCCGTAGTAGAAACTAATATAGATCTGTTATTATTATAGAGTAAGCGGTATTACAAACAGGTAGTATCTTAGAATATAGTAGTAAGGTAGGTGCTACTAAAACTATAGTAGGCAATTATAGTAAGGAGGTTGTTATCCGTCGCGATATAGTATAAGGCCTTCGTATAGCGGTAATGCCTTAGCCTCGTATTCTTCCGCAATAGCGAGTTGTTTCCTAACGAAGTCCTACGCTACTAGAGGGCTTAATTGCTTAAAATATAGCATCTCTTTAACCTTCTAGTATTGTATACGTTTGCTAAGTCTATAGCTTTATAGGTCCGCCTTATATAGTTATCGAGCGTCGATTGTTAGTAATTTAGTTATAGTACTATATATCGATAGCTAGGCGAGGTCCTTCTTCTAGTCGTATTTAATAGTATTATAGTATCCTTCTAGCGGCGAAGTAGTACGTATTTATATAAGAACTAGGTTACGAAGACGTACCTAGGTTGCCTATTTCTATAACTTCTCTAACCCCTAGTTCTTCCGTAAATACTAAGCCTCTTCTACTAGTTTGTTTAGAAGCCTTAATTCTGCTTCTATTATAGTAACAACCTCTTTAACCTCTACCTTACTCCGAGCCTAATAAATAGCTCTTTTAAATAGTCTCTAGACTATAGGGTACTTAAATTTAGGAAAGTAGCGAAGGAAGGTCTCTTTAGCGTATCGTTAGTAGAGATATAGTCGTATTTCCTCGCTTTAGAAGGATAGTCCGTTACGAAAACTTTTTTTCTAATCGCGTCGATCCTATCGATCCTATCGATCCTAAGCGATCCGGATACGAGTCGGGTCGAAGCGACCGAGGGATCGACGCGATCGATAGGATCGATATAGTAAATTTTTGTATATATAGGATCGCTCTAGGTCGCTCGCAGTCGCAGTCGTTAGTAGTGTTTATACTATTCGTATAGTACTATATTAGTACTTATCGACTCGTCGACTCGGTCGTATTAGTCGACTCGGTCTAAACTAGAATATACTAGTAGTACTATAGTTTTAAGTATATTACTATTATATTAACCGTCGTTACTATATATCGCTATATCCTGTCTTATACGTTCTCTATAAACTATAAAATTATTCTTCGCCGCCTTAGTATTATTATCCTCTATGTTTCGGAGATACGATTTCTATATACTCTATACGGCACGTTGCCTTTTTATTACTCGCCTATAAGCCTTTATAGCTCGCATTTCCTTATCCTCCTATTCCTCGTCGTAAATTGTGTTATACGTCTTAAAATCAACTATACTATTAATATAGCGAGTCCTATACGGGGCGCCTTCGTCTACGGATATAGCGTATAATATATAATAGACTAGTAGTAGGCTATATACCCGTCGCCTTTTAAGTCTACTATAGTACGGTAAAAGACGCCGTAGCCGGATTGTCGTTAGACTATACGTATCCTTGTACTCGCTCTTATCGTTAATATAGTCGTAAAGCTTAACAAAAACGCCTATAATAGGCCTCCGTTTCGTCCTAAGCCCCTTCCTATATTTGATTCCTATTTCTATATTAATCGAGATTACGTACTTTAGTTAAGCTAGTAGGCGACCGCCGAATCGAACTGCTAATTTATTAGGTGTTTCTACACAATTAACGTTATATTCCTATATCTATATAAAATTATAACGTCTGTTGCCGTAGAGCCTCTCCTAGTTTAGTATATATCTCGCGAAGTCGGCTGCTACTACGTTAGGATGTTCTATATCCTTACCTATAGGCTTCTAGTATCGGATTCTACCGTAGAAGTAGATCTCTATATCTAGGACGTATATATAGTCTGTTACGATATCGTTAGGGTCGGCTACGGTGCTTAATGCGCTATTCTTATCGTAGGCACCCTATTGCCGTACGAATACCGCAATCGCTTATTAGAAGTCGCGACCTAAGTTCTCTTCTATTATAGCTATAGCCTCCCTTATCGTAATCTACTTAACCGATTTCTTTCCGTCCCTCTGTTTCTCGGGCTAGTATCCTAGGATGTCCTCTACTAGCCGTACTATAGTTAGCATTATTAGCTGTTACGTATACTCCTTAATAGTACGAGCATTTGTAGGGATTGCTATATATTCTTTGTCGTCTTCGGCCTATATATTTAATCTATTAGTATCGCTATCTAGTATACTTTCTTCCTAGCTAGGCTTCTTATTTATTAGCCGAAATGCAAGCTTTAGTAGTTTATAGTGTTTGTGCTCGAAATAGCTAGTATTTAAGTCTAGAAGATTACCGAACGTCTTAATACAGCTCGGGGCATGTGTTATACCGTAGAATTTCGGTATATTAAAGTGCCCTTCTATTTATATTATTATTAGCTCGTTAACTTCGTCGTCCTCGTCTATTATAACTATATTGTCGTTATTTAGGTCGTTCGTTCTTCGCGTAGCAGCCTTCGCCTCCCGCTAGGCCCTCTTCTATACCTTTGTTACCCTATATAAGCGAAATACATTCTTCTATTCGTTTATCCGGTGTAATGCTATCCTAAGATACTTAACTGTTTCGTCGTTATAGTATCTATATATCGCTAGAACGGTAAAGTCTACTAGTATACGCAGAAATCTTATCGCCTACGGTTAACGGACCTCTTCGAGTAGTAGTACAAATATAACTAATAAGACTCGTAGGACGCTTTACTGCTCTTAGCCTGTCTACTAAGTAACTGCTATTAGCTAGTAACCGGCCCTACACCTATAGGCCAGTTTTAAGCCTATATAAGAGGCCTCCTTCTATATTATAGATAGAGCATTAACCTCGTATAGCACATTGTTTATGTTACACTTCTATAATGCCTATGTTATAGGGCTCTAGTTATTAGCCTAAGCGATAGTCTCGTTATCCTATCTTGCTAAATATAGCTGCCTATATTGCTATAGGTTATATTACCCTCGGTAGCCTATACTATTACTATAAGTGGTAGTAGTAGTATTAGTTTCCGTCCTTTATTAGAGCCGAAGGTAGGGCTATCTCTTTATATCTAATAGGTTCGGGTGTGTTGAAGGTGGTCTCTAGGCACGAATAGCTATAACCGAAGCGAGGGCACGATAAGAGCCTACGATACGGACGATAC